CGTCGCAAAATATGCCCGTCCACCGAAGCATTGGAGAAATTTCGTACCAATGTTGGCAACACGGAGCGTTCTCGCGCGTGATTCACGTGTTTTACGATGTCGCTTAATCTGTTCCGCTGCGGTGGTTCTACACGTACGACGGTTCCGCTGGGGCTTCGTCCCGCTCGCTCTTCTGCTTGTTACTCATTCAGTGACGGCGTCCACTGACCGAGGAAATAGCCGTAGCCCGCTCGCCACAGGTCAATGCACACAGCGAGCGACGTATACATGTTTGGGCAATTCGGGTGTCATGTCTTCCGCGAAGGCACCTGGATGCAGTATACGACTTCGCTCCATTGAGGAAGCGTGAATGGAAGAATAAGAAAACGACTCGCCGAGGAGGAGGAGGATTTGTAGACGCCCGAATAACCGCGGCGCTGTCTTTGTGGACGGCGCGGCGCCATTGCTGGCAGCACACGCCGGCGCCCAAAGCAACGGTGCGCAGATAGGAGAAAGGGTCGGAGCCCATTTGTCGGCATTTCGACACGCTCGTCGCGCTCTCAGCGGGGCGGCTGGCGCTATTCCGACTGCCCGACGCCACAGAGGCAGCCCTGTCGCCGTTCGGCGCGGAGGCCGGCAATCAGTCGCTTCTACGAGATGCCGCCGAAAACGTGTGTTCTTGTTGCGCCATTTGCGGCGTTTTGTTTTCGCTCGAGAAAGCGTTGCACGCCTCGAGAGTCGTGTGCGCGTTCAGATACGACGCCTCGCCGAAACAGCATCGGACGCGAGCTGTCTCTTTGACGGCAGGTACCCTCTCAAGACGCCACATTGATGCCGTTCCAAGCTGCTAAACTTACCGCAACAGCACGTCGCATCTCGTTACCGCAACAACACATCGGATCTCGTGACGGAGCGACGACGAGTATATATGCGGTAGTGAGGAAATAATCGTAGGAGGACTTAAAGCTGCGCCGGTTGTTGACAATACTCGAACATATTTCAACTCGGCGCACGACGAGGCAGACACAAGAAGGGTTCCGTTTTGTCGCTTCTTGAGTCCGCGTCGTCGCTCGCTAAGATAAAATAAGTTCAAGGAAATGATCGTCCACATTTTCGACACGCGAAGAAAATTCGATTTCCAGGCACTGTCACGACTGCTAAAAACGTAATAGCCTCAAGGCAAGGACACCAATAACTTCACGATAATTGACGGGTGTCGTTCTGCCGCTTATATCTCGATCAAGTAGGCCATTATTAGAGGTCGGGGTACAGCGAATTAAGTCGCTGACGTCCCTGGGAGTGTAACGAGAGACAATTCATCGCCTACGTTAGTTCTCGTTTGGAAATATACTATTTCGAACATAACTACAGAAGTTGTTACGACAGCCTATACGCAATGCGCGCTTCAGATGTGCACAGCACCTTTCTTGTAATGTAGAGCAATGAAAAACAAGTAGGATAACATTTCATATTCAATAAGGGGGAAAAAAGTCCTTTGACGCTTTTCTGAGAGTTCTCTCGCTTACCACGAATATGGCCCTCTTTAAAGAGGCCCGTCAGCTCTCTTTTTGGGGTCATTATAGTACTCGCTTCTGAAAGTTGTCTGACCCCGAAATAAACTTAACGTGCCTCTTTCTTAAAGAGAGCCATACATACGTGGTAAGTCAGGGCTACACAAAATGAGCCACCCATATACTCTTTTCTTTTTCTTAGAATGCAAGAATAGTAGAAAGATGAACGCCATGATAGTTGTCCACGGGGTAGACAACGAGCATTCTCATGGTGCGTTGGGAGACGACAGTGGCCTATAGATAGCCACGGCGGGGGCGCAACTCGTAGGTACGTCGGTAGCTCGACAGTGGGGCCAACTGAGTGTCATCGTCCGCTGACGGTCTAATCCCCGTCGCTCGCGTGGTGAACCGATGAGGGCTGCGTTACGGTCATACGCCGATGACAGCGAGAAAGGCCATCACGCCAGCACGGTCCGCGGCGCGATACGTTCTTATCGGCTGCTGTTGCATGATGGATGCATCCACCGACCGAAGACGGCCGCAGTGACCGACGACGCCGGATTAATATCACGAGACACGTCGCGCAACGGCGAAATCTCCTTCGTTTGGAGGAGACGTTCGGCAAGAACGCCATCAAAGAACGGCACTAAAAGCGCCGCCGACATGGGCTCGTATACGTCGCAATTCTCCCATATGGTAAAGTGATGGAACAAGGTTCTATGCCCTAAGAGTGGGTCTAGTCCCCAGTGCAGCGCCGCATGAGCGACGGCCGCCCTATACGCCCGCATGATACATGGCTGTATGTGGACTATAATAATAATAATAATAATAATAATAATAATAATAATAATAATAATAATAATAATAATAATAATAATAATAATAATAATAGGAAGAAGAAGATGATGAAGGAGGAGGGGGAGGAGGAGGAGGAGGAGGAGGAGGAGGAGGAGGAGGAGAAAAAGAAGAAGAATGCTTTATTATCATTTCGAAAGAGCATCGATACAGTACAAAGTTGGATACATGTCAAAGCCTCACTGGGTTTATGGGCAGAACTCGCAGACACACGAGTTCTTTTGGCTACCACCACAAAAGTGCAGGTCATTATTATTATTATTATTAGTCGTAGTAGTAGTAGTACTAGTAGTAGTAGTAGTAGTAGTAGTAGTAGTAGTAGTAGTAGTACTAGTAGTAGTAGTAGTAGTAGTAGTAGTAGTAGTAGTAGTATGTTGTTAGCAGGTACATGTAAAACATAGACACGTTCATACAGCAGAGCACGAAAAAATTAATGGATACTAAAGCATATGACGTCGCCTAGCCATACACTGATTCCGGTTTCATACTTGCAACAGCAACATAACATAATATTAGTACGTATTTGTTTCTATGAACGCATTCTAAGAGACGTAAGGGAGAAAGAGAAAATTTATTGATAGAAAGGTCGGCCTGAGCTACATCTTACTCTGGTCTGCTACTGTACACTGAGTGGGAAGGGCGACAGGGGAGCGAAATAGTGATAAATAACGATGGTAAGGATGAGAGAATTGTCTTGTTACGCTGGGCAACTCGAAAGGCGAGCATCCAGTCCAGTGGCTTGATCGGCTGCAGTGACACAGGTCCCGCCTGTGGCCACTGTCAGTTGCCATTGATTGATTTGATCGATTTGTGGGGTTTAACGTCCCAAAACCACCATATGATTATGAGAGACGCCGTAGTGGAGGGCTCCGGAAATTTCGACCACCTGGGGTTCTTTAACGTGCACCCAAATCTGAGCACACGGGCCTACAACATTTCCGCCTCCATCGGAAATGCAGCCGCCGCAGCCGGGATTTGAACCCGCGACCTCCGGGTCAGCAGCCGAGTACCTTAGCCGCTAGCTCACCGCGGCGGGGCGCTGTCAGTTGCCAGAAACACTCGAACATACATTTTGCGCCTGTCCAGCGAACGCATAACAACGTCACAAGCTGATCTCTTCGATTGAAAGATATCAACCGATAAGTTAGTGGTAGGTAGTTAGCCTGACGTAATCAGCACAAAGGCGGTTATAAGAGCCGTCGTAGGAGATGTAAAAGTACGCATAAAATGTATTTGATCTGGGAACAAAGCAGCAGTGCACTTATGGCCTATAACATACGCTAAAATATCAACTATCAAATGCGGATAAAACATTATCAAACCGCTTCGGTACGACCACAAGCCGGCGGCGAATACGTCATCTCTAATTTTGCCCACGTCACCATTTCATAATGATTAGAAGGCTCAAAATAAGAACATAATAAAAGGTTCGAGTAATTTCAGCTGAGGTGCACGCGAAAACTGCCATGTTAATGGAAACCGTTTTCCAACGTTCGGTAGCTCAGTATGACTCACGCTCAGAATATATACAATAAATATCACAATTTTTCACTATTTGGTGTACTCCTCGAGTGACGAAATTGCTTACTTGAGTCACCCTTTTTAGGAATGTTCACTTACTCTAAATGAACGCTCGGAAGAGAATTACTAGGACTTCAACTTTCATGATATTGGTTAATTTTTGTTGCTGTTGTATTTGACATTCCCTGAATTCATCGTAATGGCTCAGTTGTCACGCATAAACACAGTTATATCATTAGTCTTTTATTCGCATCCTCGCGCGTACAGTGCATCATTAGTCTACGCCATATTTCCAGACATTGACCATGTCACCTTTAGTGCAGAAAAAAAAACAGCTTTGTAACATCCCGAGTACTTTGTTGAAAACGAAACTCTCAGAAGAAGCAGAAGCAGGAGAAAGTTAGTATATGGTCCCCAGGGACCAGCAAACGGCATTTTTTGCAGCCTCACAGTCGAACTCTGGACCTCATGCTGAATCCTGACACCGCGGGGCAGCTGCGGGTGAGGCCAAACGAGGGAACCGGACAGCACTTGACCACCGGGGGAGACGAGAAGACGACGCGACAGCGGATTCAGTAGCGAATTGCCTTCCGTGCCGAGAAGTCTTGTGCTCATTCTGTGTTTTACTAAACAGTTATTCGCTACCAAAACAACGCATCGATATTTATTTCAATGAACCTGAACGTCATACTTCATTTTAAATGTGCGTTAGTTGACTTTCTCTACCATAAGAACACGAGAATCCATCAAGCCGCGTTTACTGTAATACCAGTGACATTACTGTAGAACACTCACTCATAAGCGCTACCAACAACACCAGCAAGGTAGAATTATTTTTATGAAATCAATCACCTAGGATAAACGTGAAAACGGGCATTACAAACGCCTGAAGTACGTGTATTATATGTACGATAGCCAACCAACCTACCTCACCAAATATGCGCCACAATAGATTTATTATGCGGTACATTAACTTCACAGATGCGATATATTTGTTGGAGCAGAGCTTGACAACCTGCGGCATCCGGTATGACGTCAACAGACTCCCGCCCTATACTTCCTATGTCGGGTCTATGTGAAGGTGGACATAACAGCTATGACCTCAAATGTTTCTTTTGCTTTTAACCAATATTCGTAAATTTTAACCACGTGAGATGCTCGCTTAAGATAGACATGATTTCCATTAACACATTTTAGGTTATTATCAATTACAATCGCCAGCTTTTTTCAAAGACACTTTCCCCTCCCCTACTGAAATCACAACTTACATTTTTTAAATACATTGTTTTATTATAATTGCGCGTACAAATCTAATTACTACTTCCCAATGTTACAAAAAGATTTAAGCATTTTAATGCAGAATGTGGATTGGTTGAAGGGGATGCGAAAAAGAACAATTTCTAAGACCATAAATGCATCTTGCCAGCTAGAACTTTCTCATGAGGTAGTGTCAAATAATGCAAACGCGGTTGAACACATCCAGCCGGCACAGTTGAGCTAGCGCAGCTGAACTTACCAACGTTATAGCACGCAGCTAAGACGGACATCCAGTTCACCTGCACGAAAACAAGAAGAAAAGAAACATGTAAGTATAACACCAGAATAAGTTTAACTGGTTTCATCTATGTGAACACAGATCTGCAAACTGATGGAACTGTCGTGCATCGCACGACGGCCATTTCTCCTGCGCACAACAGTCGGCCTTTCTTTGCAAGAGAACGCACAGCGTAAGCTCGTTTCCTTTGCATTATCCAAACGTTAATCAGCCCATTCCGTTTTTCGAATGATCTTGTTTTGTCATCTCTCCACTAAAGCTTACTCCAGGCGCAGCCGAAGCCCCAGTTGGTTCGCTGCAACCGAAGACCCAGAGCATTCTCAAGCCCCCCCCCCCCCCCCCCCCCCCGTAAATGGCCGCTTAGGCAAACTACCCAAACCGCACCAACCATCGGCAATCTCCACTGCAAACCAGGCAACCAAGCGGTGATTTAAAACCACTTATCTCGCAAAGGAAGCGCTCAGAAAAGGAGCGCCAAAGAGCTCGGCTCGAACCAACCGTCCGGGCACAATTTTTTTACGAGCACGCCTTCGCTAAAGAGCAAACGCGATAGCATAACTGGAAAGTCCCTGGCGAAACAGGAACCACCTGAGCAGAGAAGGTGTCCTTGCAGTGGGAGTGTGCTCGCGAAAGGCGGACCACCTGAAGGGCAGAGAAGGCTTCCGGGAGACGCAGAGCCCGCTTGTCACCGGCGACACGGCGAGACCATTCATTACGCGGGCCTTCCACGGAGGGTAACGGCGGGTGGTGGCCTCACGTGCGAAGAAGGAGTGCAAAACGCCCGGGGCGGCGGCCAACCCCTTTGACGCCTCCGAGACACCCCCGGCGAGCTCACCATCGCAGACAGATGAGCCTCGTTCCGGGAAACCTTACTGGAGAGGTAACACGGGGACACCTCCCCGTCGAACGTCGCCGCACTCCCGCCGCGAAACGGCCGGCCAGCGCAGGCGTGAACTTTGCCGACACAGGGGTCGCGACAGTCGATGTTAGAACTGGTGGCACTATGAGAGATGCGCTGCACTAAGGTCCCGTGGCAGCGGGTGCGAGGGACTGGGAACGAGATGCAGCTGCGAGCGTCCATTGTAGATGACCACTGGGCGGCTGTTGAAACTGCCGCTTTCGCAAGGTGCCCTTCGGGACCAGCAGCTCGTTGCCGGTTTGGAAACGAAGCGGCTGCGTGTAATCGAAAAGCTGACGAATCGTTTTAAACTGGCCAAAAGAAAAATCTCACTTCACGCTCACACGCATATTTTCTGCGGGCTATTCGTGGGCACTATTTCCAAAACAAGATTATAAATCAACAGACAAGCGCAGTTGTTCTCTCTTTATATTTATTTAATGCATCACAGACAAACCGGTTATAGCAAACCACTATAGCAAGCTCGAAACAATGTATCTGGTTGTTCGTTTAAAAGCGTATAAATGTGAGCTTGTAGGCTTGGACTCATAAAAAGGAATAGCACGAACACACGGGACAAGAAAGACTGACTGCAGTTAGCACTCAAAGACCATGCACAGCCAGCGCCAAGTCTTTTATGTCTGCGCTGTTTCCCGGTTATGAAGCATTTGGTTGGGTACATAAGTGAAACAAGCCACCAGGAGATTGCGCCGCCAAATGTAAAATCAGCCGCTGTTCTTTGCAGGTAAATGAGGTGAACAATACAGGGTGCCCTGAGCTTGACTAGACCATAAACATCACTTCTTTTTACAACCAAAAATGACGTGCAAGAAATGCATAATGCAAAATCTGGAGGAAAAGGGGTGGGAGGCAAGTGAAGCGCTGGATATATATATATATATCTATGTATATATATATATATATATATATATATATATATATATATATATATATATATATATATATATATATATATATATATATATATATATATATATATATAAGGGAGAGAAGTGTATACCTAAGGGCTCGTATTTCCGTGTTTTAACACAATATTAATGAGGTATAACAAACAGTAATGCCAAGGAATGTACAGGGGAAGTTATTAGAACCAATGGAATGTAAATAAGAAGAAAGAAGAAAGAAAAGTGGATGAAAAAATTACCAGCTGTGAGCAGGAATCGAACCCACGACCTTCGAATAACGCGTTCGATGCTCTAACCACTGAGCTATCACAGCGGCCGTCCCTCCATCCACTTTTTGGGGTTTATACGTGAATTTAGAAGTAGGAGTGACAGTCAGCGCCATATATATATATATATATATATATATATATATATATATATATATATATATATATATATATATATATATATATATATATATATATATATATATATATATATATATATATATATATTATTATTATTAGAGATTTTGCAGCACATGCAGATACAAGAACACCATTCAATTCAACTGCGATGAACACCGCATAAATGTCGTTACGGCCCCAATAATATCAAATCGAATGCCCTTGCGAGTGTGGTAACTAGGAGGACATACCCCTTGGCAAGCTCCGTTATGTTCTTTCGTGATAATCATTCACCACTACTGCAGACTTACTACGCCGAGACGCCGCCACACGAGCAGCGAAACCGATGGATCTCGGCGCCACAAATAGAAGGCAGGGTTTGAGGCGTGCATTCAGTTCACTCGGGCCCATGAGGTGGGGGAGTGTCGGGCCCGATAATACTGGGCGCGGGAAAGAAATACAGTATAATAAAGTACTATGACTGGGATTAGCGATCATGAGGTAGTAGTTGGAGGTTTGGTTTGCCCAAACCTAAAGTTAAAGAAAATGTCGCCGCGAACCATTTGTGTTTGTGAAAATGGTAACTATCAAGCAATATCCTCCAAACTTATACTTCGTTTTTCACTGAGTTCCAAGAGTGTTCTTCGATCATGAACATCACCAGTACGTGAGAACTTTTTAAAACCGAGCTTACTAGTTTTGTCAGCAGTCGTGTACCTTCTAAAGTTATTTGCGGGAAACGGAGAGCTGACAAACCCCGGATTACCGCGAGCCTAAGGAAGTTAATTAATACAAAAAATCGCACTTTCAAGCGTTTTCGTTCATCAGGAACTGCTGATGTTAAAAAACAACTCGCTGAGTCAAGTTGACTGTTAAAAAAACAATTAACAGAAGCGAAAGAGCTTTTTTTTTTTTTTGCTTCGCTGGAAAGAAAGTTTATCACTAATCCCAAGGAAGTTTGAAGATATGTGAAATCAAATAGGATGGATTCTGTTGGCATTCCTGACATAACAGATGGTGGAACAACCTTTCAGGAAGATGCAGAGAAGACAGCCTCCTTAATCCAGTATTTTCAATCTGTGTTTTCCGAACCATTTTATTGTGAAATGCCGTATACGACAACCATGCAGTAATTTGAATCTATGGATGACATTGTTATTTCGGCTAGTGGTGTGCGCACTGTTCTTGAACGACTTCAACCAAACTCGGCTCCGGGACCAGATGCCATTTCTAATCACGTATTGAAGAAGTGTGCAAGTGCTCCACCACCGTTTTTAGCCGTCTCATTTTCAAAATCACTTGAAGGTCAGGAACTGCCGTCTGAATGGAAGCTAGCAAATGTTGTGCCAATACCAAAGTGTGTAAACAAAAATAATGTTGCCATCTACCAACCAATTTCTTCGACCAGCCTATGTTGCAAAACTCTTCAACACGTTATAGATAGCGGTATTATAAAGCACTTGGAAATAAATATCTTTTTCTGTACATTTCAGCATGGTATTAGGTCCGATCTGTCATGTGTTACACAACTGGGCGAATTTTCTTGTGATGTTCTAAGTTCAACTGATAAGGGTTATCAAGTCCAATTCGGTATTTCTAAACTTTCAGAAAGCGTTTGACACCGTTCCACATGCTCTTTTATTAGATAAATTATCATTTTAGGTCTGCCTGCATCTGTTCTTGGTTGGTTGAGGGACTATTTAACTTCTAGAAAACAGTCCATCCGAGCGAATGGCTCGTCTTTTTCATACGCCCAAGTAACTTCCGGGGTGCCACAGGGTTCGGTATTAGGTCCTTTACTCTTTTTGGTCTATATTAAGGACTTGTCAGAGACGCTAACATCAAACGTGAAGCTGTACGCGGATGATTGTGTTATTTACAGATCAATACACAGAATGGACAATATTTGTGCTTTACAACGTGATCTTGACACTGTGGTAAGGTGGTGTGAGAAATAGAAGATGTGTCTGAATGTAAAAAAAAAAATGTTGCTTCCTTAGTTTCACCAGAAAACGCAAACCTTTTAACTCGTCCTACAGCTTGTCAGGAGCACAACTTGACCGTGTTGAACATATTAAATACCTTGGTGTATACTTGTCTGCCGATTCATCTTGGAATAAGCATATAGGTTGGGTAACTGGCAAGGCCAGCGGTGTGTTAAACTCTATCGTAATTTCAAGTCTGCCTTCAAAAGTCTGAAAGCGGCTTCGTATGTTACAAATGTCCGACCTATCCTTGAATATGCCTGCACAGAGAGAGATCCTCATGGTCAAACTTTAATCTATAAACTTCAACGCATACAAAACCGCTCGGCGCGCTCTGTCAGTAATAATTACAGTTTTAACTCCAGTGTTACATGCATTAAGAATAACTTAGGATGGCAGCCTCTTGAGCAGCGCAGGAAATACTTGCGATTAAAGTTTTTCCATTCTATATTCTGTGATGAAATCCGCATTAACAAGATTTTATACATGATGAGCCCACACTACGTGTCACAAAAAAAATTATCACTAAAAAAAAATCTGCGAGGTCAGCTGTTGTACTGGTGCATTTGCCAATTCTTTTTTTTTTTTGCTTTTTACCATTCGCGAATGGAATAATCTGGATTCGTGTGTTGTTGATCTTCCATCCAATGCTTTTTGTTCATCACTACAAAATTTGTGCTTTTTGTGAATGCGCAGGAGCTGCTGTGCAAACGTATATGTCATTTTCAACGGCGCGTACGTGCGCTTTGTTCGACTGTAATACTGCCTTTCTTTTTCCTCGACCCACTACAATAATGCCCACTTGA